AGACCTTTTCAAACAATTTGTGATGTAGGTGATGTCAGGGTGCAGTTTTATAAACTTTCTAAACCCCAGACCCAAATATCTGTCGTATATCTCCTGCTTTGGTTCTTGGAAATTTTTTTAACCGCTCAAACATTACTTCCGACAGTGTTTTAGGACAAGATTGACAAACATCCTTGAACAGGCTGATTGATTCATTCATTATTGTCCTAATGGTGGAAACGGGTATTTTCAGTGTTTTTGCCATTTCATTATATCCAATTCAATTTTGTGAAGCTAAATTACCTTTTTCTGCTCTTTTACAACTCTTTACTTTAGTCTTAACTAGTTTAAATTTACATACAATGAATAGAGGACAATGCAGAGACTTTGGTGAGTGAATCAAGGCAATGGAAGATTCTGCTTGACTAGTGTATTCAGCATTGAACTCTACTGAATGTTACAAATTTAATTGTTTTTATTGCCATAAGTTACACTGCATTCGTTAATATTATTCAAAGTAATGTTTTCTATTTGTTTTTTTAATATTGTGAAGTGAATTGGGAAATAACCAACAGCAATTTTAATGTAAAATAGTTTGGTATATTTATCTTTGGCCCACAGCGATCAATAATGTTTGGTTTTTGGCCCTTCATACAAAAAAGTTTAAGCCCCCCTGGTGTAGAGCCTCTTTTTGCAGCTTATACAGCATTAAGTCATCTTGGGAATGAAAGATACAAGTCCTGCACAGTGGCCAGAGGGATTTTGAGCCATTTTTCTCGCATAATAGTGGCTATGTAATGCTGGTGAAGGAAAACATTTCCTGAGTCGCTCCTCCAAAACACCCCTAAGTGGCTCAATAATATTTACATCTGGTGACTGTGCAGACCATTGAAGAATTTAGTCATAAAGCTTCAACATTACATTGGCCAGTATTTTAATTTGATTGTCCAACCCCTGTATGTACACTTTTCTTGCACATTTGCTCAACACACTGCCTTATTTAAAGCACCAAAAACACAAGCGCTCTCATTTAATATTTCATAACATCTCGCTCAATGAAACAACTACACAGTACATCTCAAATCCAACAATCCATAAGAGTTGATTTAGATACAGACCCTCAGATTGGTGGTTTTGCAGCCCTAAAAATCATACAGTATGAATAAATCGCAAGCTCTGCAAAAATGTTTTGATGCATCAACTGTGAGAGGTCAGAGAATGAATCCCAATGGAGCTTTAGAGAGGACTCAGAAAGCAGCACAGCAGGACTGTGTACAGGGAAAAAAACACTGTGAGGAGATCTGTTGAGGGATCAATGGTTTTGTTTGATACAGTCAGATGCTGGCCTTAACCAAACAACTCGCACACTCGTTCTTTTATTATTTATGACATTTGAGTGTAATATGCGTGCCAGCTACACACAGGGCACATCTGTTTGTGTGTGTGTGTCCAACAGCTGCTCCACTTTCCAGCTGACAGAGACATTAAGCAATAGCTGAGAAAATAATGCAGGAAAACAAGAGTGCATCTGATCACTGGGGAGATTGACTTTAAAACCAAGCATTCAAACGTCTCACTTTATACAGAACTGTCACATCAGAAGATAATCACAGCTGCTTATAGTGTGAGCATTAGGGGTGAACTCGTGCTCATGTCACTATAAAGCAGAGATTATGAAATTACTAAATACAGGGTTCTTATACCTTTTTCAACTTCAAAATGCTGCACTTTTCAAGGACTTTTAAGATGCAATTTTATGCTTTTCCAATATATATGTATATATATATATATATATATATATATATATATATATATTGTATGTAATTTTTCACATTTAATGTATTTTAAAAACACAATATGACTTCTTTCAACTTAAATTGTTGAATACTTTAGAGCATAGACTTATTGGGATAGTTTACCCAAAATGATTTAAAAAATAAACAAAAATAGTTCAGTTATTGGAGGATGTATGTTTTTAAGTTTGGCCTCTTTCTACCTAAAGTTGATATCTCAAGAAATGAGCTAACAGTCAGATTTTGTTTGGGTGTAGTACCAAACTTTTATGACCAGTTGTTCATGATATTTTATGTGCATTGCTATTTTTATTTTTTTTTACAGTCATTGGTTTGGCGTTTCAGTTGCAAAGATGCATTTTGGGTGAATGTCTCCTAAATACATATGAAGCTAATAATATGCCAAAACATTCTGAATTTGAAATGTGTTCATTTTAATTATTGATAACTGTAAGTATGTGCGAACATTTGATTAACCAATGAGATGTAATTGAATTACATATATGAATTTGGTTCACTGAAGCATATATGTTTATTACACAAACTACTGAAAATAGCTGACACCCGATTTGCAGATGAATAGTCTTCTCCTGAGAAAAACAAATGCCAGCAAACTCATGGTCTTTGATTGGCCAAAATGCTTAGTTTGACTTTTCGGTAATCATCTACTCTTCCCTGTTGATGACTCCTGAATTTCTTCATTTTGAAAACTGTATTTTTACAAACCCAACATCTGCAGTCTATGAATTCAGAACAAAAAAAAAGTTTAAAATATGCCTATAAAAATCTGACTTCAGTTCAAAAATTCAGTTGTCTTAAATTTCAGATGTTCAATAATCAAGTAAACAAATTCAAATCATTTTTAATAGCATATAATAATCAGTTTTATTAATTTACTATTGTTAATAATTCAAATGAACACAATTCAAATTCAGATTGTTTTGGCATATTATTAGCTCCATAAATACGCGCATGTGGTGAACATTTTGCAATGAAAACTGGTCGCACAGCAATTTATGCACACTCACATATGCTCCCAAATATATTTTGAGGTCACATAGATAAATTTTGTGCGCATATACAACAAAAACGGTCACAATTTCGAGCCCTGCAATTTCAAATTAAAGCAGGTTCAAGCACTTTGTCCAAAATCCAAGTACTTTTCTGACCTATAAAACACTATATTAAAAATCAAGCATTTTCCAGCATTTGCAGCACCCGTAGGAACCCTATGAATAAAGCACATCTAATTCACACAACACCTCTTAAATGTGGCTTTCCCACACGTTATAATCTTAGGTCTGTTGACTGCAGTGCAAAGAAAGCTTAAATGCCTGATAACGATTGCACTAATTTTCACATCAAGTCTTTTTGTAAGCTAACAAGTGTTTCAGGCTTTACTTTAGTGGCATCACAGCTACAGTAAATAGCTATTTTCATAATTAAACACTAATTAGCATATAATTTGGTGTTGACAACTTGTCACGTTGAACAAAGTCTCACCAAGGCTGCACTTGATGATACACAGTTGTATTTTAATACATTTGAAAGTGTAATTTATTCATATTATGGAAAAGCAGTTGAATATTTGCATTTTCAGCAGCCGTTCCATTTCTCATTATCATCAATGTTCAAGTAGTTAGCGTTTTAGAAGAAATGTTTTAGAAAGCATTTCATTGAAAGAGAAACTTTGAAGCTCTTGGAACCTTAGAAAAAAAAAAAAAAAAAAAATTTTTGGAGTGTCCACACACACACACACACACACACACACACACACACACACACACACACACACACACACACACACACACACACACACACACACACACACATATATATATATATTTAAAAACATGGTCAAGTTGATCTGCTGCAGTTTAAACAGAGCATCAGAATGAGGATGAAAGGTGATTTAAGTGACTTTGAACGTGGCATGGTTGTTGGTGCCAGACGGGCTGGTCTGAGTATTTCAGAAACTGCTGATCTACTAAGTTTTTAACGCACAACCATCCTAGGGTTTACAGAGAAAAGGGTCCAAAAAAAGAGAAAATATCCAGTAACCGGCAGTTCTGTGGGCGCAAATGCATTGTTGACACCAAAGGTCAGAGGAGAATGGCCAGACTGGTTCGAGCTGATAGAAAGGCAACAGTAATGCAAATAACCACTCGTTACAACTGAGGTGTGCAGAAGAGCATCTCTGTATGCAACAACACATCCAACCTTGAGGCAGATGGGCTACAGCAGCAGCAGAACACACCAGGTGCCACTCCTGTCAGTTAAAAACTGGAAACTGAGGCTACAATTCGCACAGGCTCAACAAAATTGGACAATAGAAGACTGGAGAAACATTGCTTGGTCTGATGAGTCTCGATTTCTGCTGTGACATTTGGATGGTAGAGTCAAAAACTGGCATCGACAACATGAAAGTATGGATCCATCCTGACTTGTATCAACAGTTTAGGCTGGTCGGGGTGGTGTAATGGTGTGGGGGATATTTTCTTGGCACACTTTGGGCCCCTTAGTATCAATTGAGCATCATGTCAACGCCAAAGCCTACCTAAGTATTGTTGCTGACCATGTCCATCACTTTATGACCACAGTGTATCATGTTAATATGGACCAAAATCTCTGAGGAATATTTCCAGTACCTTGTTGAATCTATGCCACGAAGGATTATGGAAGTTCTGAGAGCAAAAGTGGGTCAAACATAGAACTAGTAACGTGTACCTAACAAAGTGGACGGTGAGATGTATATATAAAATTGACAAATTACTATTCTATGTAACAAATCAGTAAACAACTACTTTCTTCATTTGTTGGCTGATATTTGATTAGATTTGATTTGTTTACGCCCATTTTATATTTAAATAAATTTTGCATAATTTAGAACATTTTTAAAGAGTTTTAATTTCAGCAAGAGTTGCTCAAAACTATTAACAACAATGTTCGATAAACCAAAATAAACAAACAAAACAAATCCGAAGGTTTATTTCATGGATACTAAGATATAATAATTAGACAGGTGACTGCTGGTTAGATTCTCCTACATGCTGGCATGATTGCTGGCATGAGCTTTGTTGTACACATTTTGGAAATAATTATTGAGGCCCAATTTCCCGCGCTCCCAAATGTCTTAGGAAATTGAAAGTTTAAAAACCTTAATTTCACCCATTTAAACACATGAAAAGTAAAACATCTGGGCTGACAATAGCAAAAGAAGACTTTATATATAAAAGGGAAAGGGAATATCATCATTAAATTCAGTCATATGACAGAAGGGAAAACATCATTTTACCCACTACCACCAACACAGATTATCTTCCTTCTCGGAGAGATTAAAACGTCACATCAGATTTTCGCAGTACCTCTTCATGTGCTTTTCTCCTCCCCCGTGATGAAGAGGTGTGTGGTTTTTTTGGACTGAAGCATCTGAGCGGCGCGGTCAGCCCCGGTGATGGCAGCCAGACGGTGCACATCATATCGAGAGTACAGAGCCGTGCAGGTGAAGCTGACAGAAGCACCACCCTCTCTGACTCCAGCCTGAAGCATATTACACACCTCACTGTAGAAATGAGGGTATGTGGGCAACCCGTAGAAGATCAGATTGTGGATACCCTTGATAGTGTATCTAGGAAAAAGAGATTTAGAAAAATGTATTAAAAAATGAGATAAACAAAAACACATTTTAAAATACTTGTCCAATATATTTTCAACATTTCATGTCTAGGTCACACTTTAAAATAAGGTTTCATTAGTTACTGTATTTATTAACATGAATTAAATATGAACAATACTTGCAAAGCATTCAATAATCATAGTTCAACATTTATTAATGCCTTATTAAAATCCAAATTAATGCATGCTAACATTGGTTAATGCAGTGTAAGTTAACATGAACTAACAATGAACAACTGTATTTTCATTAACTTAACTATTATCATGTAAACTAACATGAACAAATGTCATAATAAAGATATTGTTCATTGTTTGTTCTTGTTAGCAAATGCATTAACACTAACCTTGTCACCATAATCTACATTATTTAAATGAAAAATACTAAAATTATTTCTGATGGCAAAATAGAGTTTTTAGCAGCCGTTAATCCAGTCTTCAGTGTCACGTTTAGACAAAGTATTACTCTAATATAAAGCGTTCAGCAAACATTTATCATAGTCATTAATGATAGTAACTGTTGTGGTGATTATATACAATTACATTTCCTAAATATTTTTGATAAATACAGGGTGTATACAGGGATCCAATACCCTTTTCAATACCTTTTAAAGACCTTTTCAAAATATTTTAAATCCTCATCTCCACTTCAAGTTCTAATCAGTACCAAATATTTAACTTAATAAACAGTTGTAGTTAAATAAATCAATAGAGCATAACCATGAAAAAGAACTTAGATAAGCTCAGAAGAAACAAAGCTTGAAATAATAAATTACGAGGTTGTTTTCAGCGACAGGCTTCAGCAACTGTTTAAACTTGTCTTTCTCCAACCAAGAGTATGCAAACTTACATTTTCCCATTTTGCCATCTGTTTTGCTTCGCTACATGTGGAGAGTGCTACATCTCCTTCCCATGTGTGTCACAAAATACGTGAAATCACCCGGATGGAGGAGTTTGGCCGGACATGTCCCGGCCCAAACAAATCGCATGGATCAAGCACAGCTTTGTTAATATTAGAAGATATTAAACATATTTATGCTCTTTTGGAGTCAAACATTTTGAGCAACGCTTGAACAAAATTTAAGACCTCGTAAAAACAAGATTAAGACTTTTTAATAACTTTTATGAACTTTCTCATAAATGATTTACCAACTTTTAATACTTTTTAAGACCCTGCGGACACCCTGAAATAATTATAATAATGAAAAAAAAAAGACTATTTATTTTATAATGATGTATTTGTATTTAATGCCATGTCAGCAACAAAGGTTGTTGTAGGAATGAAAATTATCATATGCATTTGTGTTCACAATGCAAAACATGTCTTTTTCTCAAAGAAGGTCCATCCAGATTCCAAAGGCAGATACTGATAAGATCAGGGGCAGGTTATTGTGTGTGCACTTTGGGGGTTTTATGATGTGGTCACATGTTGATTGGTCAGTCTGTATGTCTCAGTATTTGGGCTTTGGTCACATGGTCAAGAAAGACACAAAATGTGTGGTAAACTTTGCTCTGGCTCTTTTCATGTTCTGGTATTCTCTAGCTCTACTCTTTTTGTCTCTCTCTCACCGTCCCTCTCCCTGTCTCCTTCTCAGTTAACCTATTTTCTGGGCACAATTATTATCATATGTTTTTATCATTTTATGTTTTACCAATTTATACAGTTGTTTGTATTTATTGTTATTGTTGTCATTAAATCATTTCATTTTTAAGTATTTGTCCATTAGTTTTGATTAAACATCAACACTTAATTGCTCCATATTGCAATACAATACAATCACATAATAGCAACTCTCTCCCACATTTTTAGCTATTATAACTCCCCTTTTTTCTGGTTTTGGTAGAAGAATGCTTAAGTATGGTTTGACAAGAAACAAACCAAAAAGAAAGAAACAAAAGAAAAAGTTTTTCACCATCATACAGATAACCATTTAGTTGTTCTGCAGAACTGAAGTTCAAACCGCTGTAGGTAAAAACCTTTTCTTACACTTCATGGCAAGTACATTTCAGTAATAAATATACAATTAAAACAAACAAATGAATACATAAATTAGATAAGATTTCTAATGTTAATACATCAAAAAAAAGTCTTAAGAGAGTTTCTTTTCATAAAAAAAGCCTTCTGGAATCATTAAATGCAGGACAGTCACAGTAGAATGTGTTTTACAGTAAGATGAATTGTGCAGAACAAACACTGAGTAGGACAATTACCACTTCTTTAGAAACTAAAGTACTCATCGACTCATACTTAAAAAAAAAAAAAGTGTCATTTAAGTGTTTAAGTTCATTTGATTTGTACGAATGTAAAACACTTTTAAGGAACACACACCTACCTCTTATAAAAGTGGAATCTCTCAGAGAAGAGCAGAAACTGTTTTTCTCCTTTCTGGAAGTAATGTCGCGCTCGAGACACCTCTGATCTCTGAGAGTACTCGCTAATATTAGCAAAACTGACGTCTTCCTTCTTCAGGTAGTTTCGCAGACGTACAAAATCAAAGTACGAAGGCACATAGATGAAAGTGTGGGACATGACAGAGTCTCTGTACTGAGGCAGGATCTTATCCACAAAGAACTGGAACCTAGAGAAGCACAGTACAAAGGTTTTACAAAAAGTTCTTAAAGCGTTTGTATGTTTTGATCTAAATATGATTCTTTCAAAACACCAGATAAATTTGTAAATGTAGTTATCATGGAAATCCAACACAATATAGTTATAGATTTCATATCTCTATTTGGAAAGAATTTGTGATTTTAGATTGATTGGGATAATTCTTTAGGATGATTTCTGCTTAAATATTATAAACAATGGACAAGCATGGATAAATACAATAAAGAAAACGATACAATTAAAATAAACAGTGTTTCTGAGTCTAAAAAATGTTCAGATTAGGGCTGCACAATATATCGTTTTGCCATCAATATCCACAATAGTCGCAAGATATGCAATGTTGAGTCTGAATTAAGCCTGATTTATACTTCTGCGTCAAACACCGGCGTATGCTACGGCGCTGACGCATAGCCCTTCGCCGTGGCCATCGCCGTCACTGACGTGCACCTCTCAAAAAATGTAACTACACGTCGCAACGACGCGTAGCATAAGCTCTGTGATTGGTCGGCTTGGTAGCGCTGACGAGTCTGGGCGGGACCGAGAGGCGCGCGAATGGCGCGACGCCGCGCGAGCGATTGTTTACAAGTGTGGAGTCCCGTGAAGGAGCTCCGGATGGAAAGTTTTGTTTTGTGTTTACCTCATAGTTAAAGTTGTTGCACGTCCGCCGGTTCCTGCCTCAAAATGAGCGAGTTTGAGCCACTTGTACATCCCGGAAGTGTTCAGGAAATGCAAAAAAGTAGCGAAGAAACTCGACACAGAGGAACATTTACACCTCACTGCCAACTAGCGTTTCGGAAGTGTTAATGCAGACCGGCAGAGACAGCGCGCAGAAGTATAAATGCACAGCCACGCGCGTTGCCTGCGCCGTGGGTTACGCCGGTCACCTGACGCAGAAGTATAAATCAGGCTTAAGGAGCAAGCGCTTAGCCATTTCACGGAATGCAAGCTCCATGAACTGCACGAGTCAAGGCTGATTTATACTTCTGCGTCAAACACTGGCGTAGGCTACGGCGCTGACGCATAGCCCATCGCCGTGGCCGTCGCCGTCACTGACGTGCACCTCTCAAAAATTCTAACTACACGTCGCAACAACGCGTAGCGCAAGCTCTGTGATTGGTCGGCTTGCTAGCGCCGACGAGTCTGGGCGGGACCGAGAGCCGCGCGAATGGCGCGAGCGATTGTTTACAAGTGTGGAGTCCCGTGAAGGAGCTCCGGATGGAAAGTTTTGTTCTGTGTTTACCTCATGGTTAAAGTTGTTGCACGTCCGCCGGTTCCTGCCTCAAAATGAGCGAGTTTGAGTCACTTGTACATCCAGGAAGTGTTCAGAATAGCAAAACAGAAGCGAAGAAACTCGACACAGAGGAACATTTACACCTCACTGCCCACTAGCGTTTCGGAAGTGTTAATGCAGACCAACAGAGACAGCGCGCAGAAGTATAAATGCACAGCCACGCGCGTTGCCTGCGCCGCGAGTTCCGCCGGTCACTTGACGCAGAAGTATAAACCAGGCTTCATAGGAACCAAGCATGGGGGCAACAAAAGATATCACGGTTTCATGGTATTGTGAATATATTCTTTTTAAATGTCTGTGTAAAACTATCACTATCCCATGATGCACCGTGAGAGAATTCATGAATGGGGGTATAGCACGTGTTGCCCAAAAGATTGATGACAAAATGGCATTTGTAGCACATCCGAGCTCCATTTGTACTACTCGCATTCATACTATATAGAACATACTTTTCTATCGGTCAAGTTAGTAGTACGTTCAAACTAAAATGCAGTACCTACTAATTAGTAAGCGAGTAAGAGCCAATATATTTTATTTAGAGAAACATTTAAAATATTTTGGAACAGTAAACATTTCAGGCTAAATAATTCAAATGAAGACTTTTGCTGTCTTCATTAGTTTCAATAACAGATTTTTTAAAATTGAAAACAGCATCTTTGGATATCTTTTCAGCTGGAGATACTGTTGTCCTAAAAAAATTAAAAATAAAAATAAATGTAAAAATAAAAATATTATTTTGACTGTTTAAAAACCTTGACTTTTTCAAACCGCAATATACCTTGAAAACGGTTATCGTCCAATGCATAATAGGAGCTACAGAATTGTACTTAATTACTTTATTTTTATGGAACTTAGACGATTTGCGCAACCAAAAAAATTCTTGTTTTTAGTCCAAATATCTACAATTCAAAGCAAAAACTGCTCCACTAGCAGATAATTTAGCTTGTTTTAAGTGAAAACTCTTAACTATGACTTATTTCTTCTAAAGGTGAAAACGAACAATATTTTTACTTGATCTAAGATTTTTTATTATATTTGTACTATACTGTAAAAAAATATTGCAAAAAGCCATTACAACAAAAGCTTCTAATGTTACTTTAACTAAAGTTAATTGGGTTTTAACTATTTTATAATACAAAGTTTAACTTAATATTTTTGGTCAGTTTGACTAATGTAAGTTGAGATGACTAGAAAAATAATAATTTGATTCAACTAAAAAAAATAAGGCAGTATTTAGTTTACAATGTAGAAATGAGACCAAGCAAACTAAGAAAAGCCTTTTATGCATTGCGATTATTCAACTCCTGCACTGAACACTAATATACTCTACATAAAACTGTCAAATAGAGCTATTCAAAGTATTTTTGAAACTGTGTACATATCGTAATATTTATTGAGGAAAAATAAAATATTGCAATATCCGATGTTTCCAATATCATGCAGCACTAATTCAGTTACAGTAATTGAATAATACAATTAAAATTAATTTAGTAATATTTATACTTAAAGTTACAAACAGCACAATTTCTTATGCCCGTATGCTTTTAAAATCAAAATACAGAAGCAAAACAAAAACACATGCAAATGATAAGCAATAATCAGACTCAACATTGCATATCCTGCGATATCAGTCCTGAAACGATATATGGTACTGCCATCTTCATAACTGTCAATATAATGTTAGTGCAATGACAGTATGAAATATATCAGTTACTTAAACTTCACAGCTGTAAAACTGTTACAGGGATGCTGATTAAAGACTGCACACTGCTGCTCTCTAGTGTCCAGAATAAAGAACAGCAGGCGTCTCTCACCTGGCATCCTGGTCCATGAAGCTGTCAGAGTGAAACATCTGAAAAACATGTGGCAGCTGCACAAGTACCTGACAGATTGAGCCTATCTTTGGAATGGTTTTACTGCACACCTAAAAAAAAGAACAACATTAGTATCTGTATCCACGACTATAAAATAACTTTGATACTTCAAATGTCAAGTCATAGTATAGCTAAATTTAAATGTTATAGAAACCAGGATACATTTTAATTTTAGGATTTTGTAAAGAATATAACATGTATTTTATTACAACTGTTTCCTAGTTGAAGTTAAAATCAGCAGGACACCGGCCCTCCAGGACCGAGTTTGGACACCCCTGCTCTGAGGTCATACAAGATATCAGTGACTTTTTTTTCTTCTTCAGTAGATCATTAAATATTTTTAGATCAGTGATTCATAAGATGCAGTGTACAAGTCATTGTTTTTCAGTCCATAGGCTTTTTACAGGCATAACAAAATGAACACCTGTGGTTTATGATAAACTAAGGTCTAATAAAGGGAAACGATTGGTCTGTGTAGGAAAATAAACCTTATTTACAACATTATTATCTTTACCTTTATTTAATTATGAGACTCTTGAAATGCTGATAGCCACCGACTGACATTTCCGCAGTTTCAGATAAAAACAATTTCTACTGAAGAAGAAAAAAAGTCACCTGGATTTTGGATGGTGTGAGGACGAGAAAATTAACCTCATTTTTTTGGGGGGGGGTAAACTATACTTTCCACAATGACTAATTAGATTAGTCCTCAAAAACTATGTTTGGTTGTGCACCTGGCCTCTGTAGTTGTGGCAGTGTTTGGTGAGGATGTTGGTGATCTGAGGTTCTTGTATGGCACTGAACACCAGCGTCTGTCTGTAATAAGCTGCCCAGTTGTTTAGGTTCCACATGCGAACGCGAGAGAAATCAACACCATGAGAGTCCAGCGGCTGCAGGTTCAAATGCTCCAACACATGCTGTAACACACACGAAACACAGTGGCAATTTAAATAAAAGTTTAAAAATATATATTTGATAGATTTTATGTAAATAACATTAAAGGAATGCTACACTTTTTGGGGGTAATGGCTCATTTTACAAGTCAATTAAAGTTAAACAGTTGAGTTTGACCATTTGTTTAATCCATTCAGCAAATCTCCCAATCTGGTGGAAACACCTTTAGTTAGCTTAAAATAAATCATTGAATCAGATTTGACTATTGACATTAAAAAATTAGATTATTTTCCTATTTAAAAGCTTGTAGTTACAACATGCACTAAGACAAAGAGAATTTAGTTAGCTTTAAATAGAAAACTACCAAAAGCATTTTTATTTATTTACTATTGTTTATAACATGAAAAATAAATAATAATTTCAGCAAGATGCCAATGGTATAACCCAATTCAATGATTTATGGTAAGCTAAGCTAAAAGTGCTCATGTCAGAGACCGGATAAATGGATTAGACATGAGTTATCAAGTTTATTTACTAAATATTGATTGTTAGAAAGCACACCTAACATTCTTAGCTTGTGATAACTCCTTATCAATGCAACATAATTTTAAAAGATGAGAATGAAGCACAAGCTAATATTTGAGAAACTACCTGTATGCAAGATTTATTGAAAAGAGAAATGACCAATAATTAGACCAATGCACAAAACAATTATAACTTTACATAAACTATTCAGGTTCCATAAACTATAAACATCTCCCTATCTCAACAATTCAATCAAGAAAAACATTTTAGCTTATAAAAATTTACATCAAATGAAAAGATTCAACTAAATTTATTACCTAGGAACCAAAATTTAACACTTGTTAATACTTTTTGAGGGCCTTAATTTTCACTAAATTGTTTTATCAGCTTTTAATCCTTTTCAAGAAACTGCAGACACCCCGTTTAAGTGTAATAAAAAAACACTAAAACAGTGGGAAAAATGAAACCCACGAGTAAATGTTCCCAGTTCTGCATGAGGAAAACATCTGCCTGATCCACAATCAAAAGTTCGATTGAAGACAGAAAGTCATGGTCTCTTTTCTTCTCCCCTTCAGCACCCAGAACTGTGCGGAGACCCAGCGGAGAAGCAATGATGATGTCAGAGGAATAGAAGGGAGCGTATAGGCGCATGCTGTGTCTCAGGATAGACATACCTGTACACATAGAGAGAGATAGCTATAATACACACAATAACAGCCTGAAAGTGGAAACCTAAACAGGTGGAAAATAAAAAGTATAACTCACAAAATTAAAATTCTGTAACTTACACTCACCCTGTTTCATATCAGAGAGGTTTTTTGTTTTGAACATAAATTAAGAAATTCTTAGTTAAATCTGAGAATCTTTAACATAAATTAAGATATTCTTAGTTAAATTTAAAAAGTGGTTAATTCCAAGTGACATGATCACATTATAAGATGAATGGCTTTAATTCAGGCTTTTAATGACATATATTCAAGTTTGGTCACAGAAACCAAAGCACACATGCTTGACATGGGAGAACCAATGAGGTTTGTGCTTGTGTATCAAGCGTGTTTGTTAGTAATTCATTTTAAACTTGCAGATTTTGCAGATGGTTTATACCTGACAATAAACACCAACAATGTTGTATTAGTATTTATTTTTGTTATGAAGGTTTTGTAGTGTCAAGACTGAGTAGACTTTGAATTGAGGAACCGTAGGAAACTAATGAACCTTATTGTAAAGTGTTACCGAAATATCTTTATTTGTATTCTTTTGACGTTTTGAATAACAGAAGTATGAATTAAGCCTGCACAATATATTGTTTTAGCATCGACAATGCAATGTGTAAATTTGCAGTAGTCATAATGCAGGATAAGCAATGTCAAGTTCAGAACATATTATTTGTGGGGTCATCACAAAGTTTAATCTTAAAATAGTGAAAGATTTTCACTTCAATGAGTTTAAGAAGTGTGACTCAGTAAGATTTAAGCAAACAAACTTTAACAATACATTAAGCATAATTAACTGTATTATTTATACAATGAAGACTATAAACTATACTTTAATTTCATATATTATTGAATTTCTGCACCTCAATATTGTTAGATTCTACAGAAAACCAACCAAATTTATTTGTATCAGTTTAATTGTATTGTATTTCATGCAAAGAGTCCTCCCAATCAATGTTGAATCAAGTCTTTCCAATTAGAGTTATAAGTGAAACTGTGAAAATTGTATTCATATCGCAGTATCTATCACAGACGAACTAAAAATCGCAATGTCAGTTGTCATCCAATATCATGCAGACCTAGTATGAATGATAATCTCTTTATTTCTATGATAACTCTCTATTTGAATTACCAAATAAAAACACAAATTTCACAATTAAGCAAAATGCAAATGTGACTTGAACAATTACTGTTATCAATACAGATTTTTTTTCGAAATAGATTTTAAAAGTTTAAAGCAAGGGACAAAAAACAAAAACGTTATACAATATCAAAATTAAACTAAATAAAAAAACTGTATAATTAAGTTAAGAAAAAGACAGAAAAAGTTTCAGTTAAAAAAGGAAATGCTTTTTCATACCTATCCTGAAATGATCATCTATATTTCCAGAAAAGACAGCGTGGTAGTCATCAGGCCTTTGCAGATTAGGTGGCTTCTCATCCGTCTCCTCTCCATATTCCTCCTTGAAGCGTTTCTTGTTACTGGCATCCGTCTTCTTGCCTTTGGGCTCCAGAAGTGTCATGAAGGTCTGGACAACTCTCAGTGCTCCATCTCTGAATGGCACCAAAATCAAGACCTACACAATGAGGATTTACTTATTAAAGTTAGCTTTTAATTATTCATTAATCCAGAAAATACACACTGATAAATTAGATTAAAAACAACCATACATATTTACATTTAACAAAAGTATAGCAGCATACCTGTTAACACAATAGTATAAACCACCTATGCGCTATTAAAAAAACTATATACAATATTGTGGTATAAAACTGAAGACACCTTTGGTCTAGTAAGCCCTTGGTCACGAAAATCCTCATCCCCATTTTTAGATTCCTTTAACTTGGCATTGTTTCTAAGCACACGAGAGTTGGCCTTTAATACATGGTTCAGGGCATGAAGACAGTATGCGCTGCGCACTTCCTTAGCCTCCTTCAAGGGGGAGAGGTTTGCCAAATAGAGGTCTCTGTAAGTACCTGCAAAAATAAAATATGCGTAATGACAAAAAAATAATAATAATAACAATTATGTCAGGTGTAATACTTTTTGTTTGCTGACATACCCATGAGCCCAAGCATCTCCTTTTGCAGCTCTGTGACATCTGTTGCAGCTCCAAAAGGCAGGTTTAACAAATGCCAATTTGCCTCTAGGGTTTTGTGAATGGGTGGAAGAGGGGCAGAAGAGGCCTGTCCGATGGCTGGAAAACGTTCCAATGGACACATGCACTGCAGAACACCCAGTTTTGCCCACTGGAGTGGGAAAGTGAAAATTTTTCTTGGTGTCAGTTTTTTATTGATTTATTCAGAGAAATATGCATAAAAAAAAAAAATATTTATTTATACAGAGAACTGTCCTACCTTAACCTGAGTCTTGACCTTTGATCCTTGTGAGATTCGTCCCACTTCCTCTTCGCTCAGTTCAATCTCTTGGTGCTTCACAAACATGTCTACAACAACCATAAAATCAAGCGCATTTTTAAACTGTTAAACTTGGGTTCTCATTTTGTTTTGTAATGCAATCAATCTTGAGTACTAGACCTGGTAACAAATGTCACATCAATAGTAATCGTCATTACTTAAAAATTCAGAGAGCTTCATTGATGATGTATCATAGGATAGTCTCACCTTCATCCTGTTCCTGTTGTGCTGTGTTTTCCTCTCCTTCTGCAGGCATATTGGTCTCCAAGCAGAAAGCAGCTTCATTCTTTTTATCTGTAAACTCTCCCTCCATCTCTGCCTCTTCATTCTCCTCTACATCTCCATTGGTCTTTTCAGGGTGTTTTTTCTGTAATTTGTCAGATGTTTCTTCCACTTTATCCTCTAAAACTTCCTCAGCATCATTCCCGTCCTCTTCATCGGTGTCCTCCACTTCTTCTTCACTATCACCTTCAACTTAATAAAAAATAGATAAGATATAATAAGTCAATGCCATTAGACCCTTTCAAATGAAAATGAAATTTGCTAAGTGTAAAAGATCTTACCTTCAGCTTCCTCCTCGTTATCCTCTTCCTCGCTTTCTTCATCTTCACTCTCAACATCATCTTCATCACCTTGAATCATGGTGGACAGTAGTTTCTGATATGCAGATGGTTGCTCAGCATCACTGTCATCCTCACTGTCTGGTTCAGGGCGCTGTGGACTGTCAGGCTGTTTGGGGGCAGAACTTCTTTTAGTGTGATGGTTGGAAACATAACATTTTCTTCATACACACAACAGAACATGATAATGAGCCATTAATGAACACAAACCAGGATTTATGAACTGAAAATTCTAATTTCCCTCAAGCGTTTGACATTAGAGTTATAGTGTTCTACAAAAACCTGAAACCACCTGGTTTTGAAATCAATAAAGAGCTATTTTCATATGGTCTCAGTGTGAAACAATATTGCGATGACAGACTTCCTCTACATCATCTCACAACACTATAAAATAATGCTCACACTTTACAATAAGGTTTCAATAATTACTGTTAACAAACTCATAGAGAACAATACTGGTACAGCATTTATTATTCATATTTTATCACAAAACCTGAATTTGTACTTGTTAACATTAGTTAATGCATTGTGAAGTTACACAAACTAACAAAGAACAAACTGTATTTTAATTAATTAACGTTAACAAAGATGAATAAATACGATAACACATTTGTTGTACATTCTTTGCTTATCTTAGGATTCGGAAATACATTAACTCAACAACCTTAGTGTGTTAGCAAAACAATAGTAGATGCAGTTCAAGACCACTTTGACATTAAACCAGCTGTAGCACTGATGTAAAGTTGGTTTAATATTTGCACATTCTCCATAATATCATTTCAGAAAAGTACAATTTGCTATTTCGAAACATGAAAATCGTACTATAGCCAACGACTATCAAAATACAACATTGTTTACAGTCAATAGAATAGAGGCAATGTTGTTTTGAAGTCATGCTTAAATCCGATTCCAGACCAAATGTTCAAATTAGCGTGGTAAACAAAAGAGAGAGAGAGAGCGTTAAAATTAACGAATACAAAACCAACTTCACCTCAAAAGCAGCAGCTTCCCTTAGGTGATCTAGCAAATGTTTTCACAATTACACTGTATAGCAGTCGACAATTAAAGTGAATCAATTAAAAAAACTGTCGTAAGGCAATAATGAATTATGAATGTATCTAATGAATACATTCAATAGTTTTTGTGCAACTTTGATGAAAGGTTTTGCTCCACTTCAAATGTCGACTCCTGTTTTATTCGTATGTCATTCAGATCCAGCTGCTAAATGCATTCATATAACGTTACAGGTTTTTGAACCTAAAATAATTGGTCACTTGACTGATGAAAGAATACATGAATATAATGACTTACCAAGCGCAAAATCTGAGTCTTCTCCGGTCTTTCAACAACCCTAAAATAAAAAAGCATTCATATTTTACACGTAAAGCTCCGAATGTATGCTAACTTAACTTATACTGCGAGCTGTGTCCTGAACAACGCATCACGGTACTTACTTATCGTGAAAAGGGTGTTGTTCACCAAATTCCTTTAGATGTTTCTTCTGTTTCTTAGTTAAATTATCAATCTCCTGTTTTCCTCGCCTTCTTTTGCCCATGTTTCTGTTCTACATCTACACACACGTGTGTAACCAGCTCCTGTTTTCTTTTCTTCATGGATAGTTAATACCATACTCTAGCGCCACCTTAAGGCTTGGCATAATTATGGTAAAGATGCAGAAAAAAGGGGGGCAAAGTGAGTCTTTGAGGAGCAAAAATCCCAAAATATAATAAACACTGAATAACAGGGTTGTCATTTCTAACGCGTAATTGCTTTCCAAAACATAGACCGGATTACTGAACCCATAGGAGAATTAAACACTCAGTGGGTCTGATCTGATGAAGTTTTAGCACCTGTCAAAGCAGAAGAATCATGTCATTGGTTTATATTTTAGCTCATTTTGAGATTTTCTCATTGCTTTGTTACTAGATGTTCTGCCACAATATGATTAGTGCCTCTGAAATGCTCTATCAATCCCCTAAGATTCAACGAATTCGAGTTTTCCTCTGGCAGTGTATGGCAAGCTGTTAAATCATTTGATTGTGTCTTTTCGTGTTCATTCTTTCATTTTCCTTCGGCTTAGCTTCTTACTTATCAGAGATCGTCACAGCGAAATGAACCACCAACTATTCCGACAAATATTTTACGCAGAGGTTGCCCTTCCAGCTGCAACCCAGTACTGGGAAACATACACACACTCAAATACTACAGTAAATTTAGCTCATCCAATTCACCTGAGTACCCTGAGGAAACCCACACAAACACAGGGAGAACATGCAAACTCCACACAGATGAGATATGCCATCTGGCCCTGCCGCGGTCTTAAATTAGCAACCTTCTTGCTATAAGATGACAGCGCTAACCACTGAGCCACCGTGCCATCCCTCTTTTCATGTTACATTTTCTTATTTTTTTAAATACCTGTTAATTTTTCCCAATAAATACCAGTAGCTAAAAATTGCCCAATGATTATTTTAAGGCAAAAGATAAAATACATATTTATTAGATCTGAATATTCATTTAATAACAAAAATTCTGATTTATTATGTACTACTTAAATAGCACTCTCTACTTATTACTAGACTTACTAGACACCACTTAATCATATGCGTTTATTATATTTGCTGCACTGTAAAACCCAACAGTCAACTTTATGAAATGTAATGAGTGTAGTTACCTCAAAATTTACTGAAAGTTAATTCTACTCATTTGAAAAGAGTTTTCAAATCAAATTAAATCAAATCACTTTTATTGTCACATCATCAGCAGCACGTGTGCTATGATGAGTGAAAAGCTTAGGTGCTGGCTCCAGACAGTACAAAATACAGACAGTGAAAATAAAATGACAGTGCAAAATAAACACAGTGCAAAATACAACAGCATGCGATTAATGAGTTAATTAAATACCTCATTACTTCAAATTAAATGGACTAAATTCATAGTACTCATATAGATACATTTTTTAACTCAAGTGGTTTGTAGCAATCGGTTTCCTTAAGCATTTTAAGTTGCCTTAACTAATTGGGTTTTACAGTACTCAGTTGGTTTAAGTTCTCTTAATTTATTGGGTTTTACTGTGCTCAAATTGCTTGATTTACTCAAATGGATTGAGTTCACAGTACTGATTTTTTTTTTTTTTTTTTGTATTTTTATGGACTTTGAAAGAGTCGAGATCTTCTGTTTATAGAGGATGAGGGAGCTCTCAGATTTCACCTAAAATGTTTAATTTGTGTTCTGAAGATGAATGAAGGTCTTATGGGTTTGGAACAACATGGGGGTGACTAATTAATAAAATAAATTTCATGTTTGGATCAACCTTTATGTGTGTTTTTTGTTTTTGCATAATTAAAAAATAAGTTTCAAATTGATCCAGTGTTTGGGTTAATGTACATGTCTGAGCATGCATGCAAGTCGGCAGCCAGACACTATTGCATTTTTTTAGAGCATTCAATAGTATCTATAAAAATTGTATGTAGGGAAAAGAACGAGGGGGCAGCATAGGGCCGCAGTGGGTAACACAATCGCCTCACAGCAAGAAGGTTGCTGGTTCGAGCCCCGGCTGGGTCAGTTGGCATTTCTGTGTGGAGTTTGCAGGCTTAAGCCCTTAATGTATTGTCAAAAGCCCCTGATCTTTTGGAATATGCTGCACTTGAAAATAGGTTGTATAACATTTATTTTGTTATCCAGTACTTAAAATTACAATGTACATCATGTGCGTTCCACTTAAGCCAGCTTTTTTGTCCGGCATTAAAACAGTGAGCTGTTTATCAGTACCTGTTTCTACCGGCAGGTGGGAGTGGGACTGTTGTCTCATGGCAAGTGTTAAAAAAATCCCACCACTGCATTGTCGTCATTCATTCATTATTTTGAGGAGCTGAAGCGGAGGAGGTAATACAATTGTTTCGCAAAACTGAATAGTTCTAACTACTGATGAAGCCTAATATTTGTTTCCACGGTATAAAATGTGTGTAGTTTTGGTGAAATAAAATAACTGTAATCAATAAAATGTGCGTCATATTAATGTTAATACATGCAAATTATTCAGGAAAACGTAAATTGTACTAGCTTTCTAGCTATGATATAGTTATCTAGACATATTTATCTATATATCATATAGCAGTCACATCTGTTTTTGTAATGGTTAAATCACAATCAGTTCATCCGTCTAGCTTATTATTTTATAGCTGTACTGTAACATGCCTTATCCCTTTCAACCCTATAGCAATGCCCATGCTAGTACGTTTTATAGATTAAATGTTAAAAAGGCTTGCCATAGATCATGCGTCACACAGCTTTAACTAATTACAAACACTGCAGGCGTGGAGGAATGGATCCCACCATCCGTTCAGGTGCAGCAGACGTATCGGGTGTTCATCAGAATCAGAGCAGAACTGATGTTTGATGTGCGTTAACTCGACTGCAGCCGAAAATATCTTGGCCAGATCATGTGTAAGAATGTATGTAATTGATTTGATCATTGAAAATTGTTCCATAACATTCAATGAAAACAGATGTGGGGTTACCAAATACGGAGACATTTTTTAAAAGTTATTTATATATTTATTTATTTAATTCTCCCGGAGAGACCCTTTTTTTCCCCCCCTCACCAGTCTCTGCGAACATGTGGTCTGTGATTATAAAGCATATTCCCCGCTGGTGATTAGGGTGCCTATGAATAACAGCAGGGCTGGAGGCCAGTGAAAACAAGGGGAGTGAAACAAATGAACCACACACATCTCAGCTCAGGGGTGAGTCATAAACACACCAAAGGTTAGAAAAACACGGTTGGGTGCCAGCGTGAAGGCGAGGTGAGCGTCCGTGAACACCCGAAAACGTCGCCCCGAAGAGACGAAATGCAGCTGATACACTGTAGGCCAATGGTTTCATGCCCACTTCCTGTGATAAAGTGTTGTGTGCATCTGTGTGTGCTTGAGGCCAATCCACTGAGAAGAGACTGTGTTTCTTATTCATTGGCTAAATGTTCCTTTAAATGCATCTTTCACTCTTCAATATAGATGTAAGAATTTATATGTATGAATTCATCACATTCTTTTGGTAAAGAGTATAAAAACTATTAACAAAACTAAATATAAAATAAGAGTAAGACATTCACATCCTATGAATGCCTGTAGAATGATTTTTTTATGCATCTGGATGATATTTTTCGGCCAGCCTGATCTCACGAGAAAACGTAAGTATTTTACGTTTTGGCAGTTTATTAGCTAATTCGTACAAATTCGTACGAGTTCAGTCGTAAGAAAATGTACAATTTTAAAAAGGAGGCGTGGCACCTAACCCCACCCCTAAACCCAACCGTCATTGGGGGATACGCAAATCGTACTAAAATGTACGAATTAGATCGTACGAATTTGTACGAATTAGCCACTAAATGAAAAAGTTACGAATTGCTGTGAGATTTTGTTGTTTTCGGCACATTATGGCCAATAGGATGTTACACACATTCCTAAGAAGAACATCTCTTTTGTTCAATGGTACATGAAATAAAATTTGGTGCTTAAGAAGGTGTCTGGTGCCTATGGAGAGGAGAAAGTGCTCTAAATGTGGTTTGTCAAGCCCACTCTCCTGTGTAAAGCACACGATTGCAAGATGCTTTCCACAAACATGGAGTGTTGATAAGAAAGTGTCTGGTGCATATGGAGAGGAAAAGAGTGTGTTTTACACATGGTTTGTCAAGTCCACTCACCTGTGTGAAGCACACAAAGTATTGCAAGATATATTTTTTAAAAGATTATGAGTTTTGATAAGAAGGTGTCTGGTGCATATGGAGAGGAGAGAGTGTTTTACAGGTGGTTTGTCAAGCCCACTCACCTGTGTGAAGCACACTTAGAATTGCACAATTTACATTATATCATTCCACATGCAAATAAATGCACATATATAAAACATATAAAACATAAATTATATATATATATATGTATTTATATATATTTATATATATATTATATATATATATATAAACTTTTGGTTTTCAGTCTGATAGAGCGTTTACATATCTTATCAAGTAAATTAAAAAAGGTTAACCACTCCTTTAAATGTGAATTAAATTTTGATATGATTTGGCTAAGGCACACTCAATCAAATTGCAAAGATATTATTCAAACCCTCACAATAAATATAACGGAAGAGAACAGGCTGAAACAAAAGAAGTGAGATCTTTCCTTCAATCATATGTTGTTTGGATTTGGAGATGTGGCTATTGGGGTTTAATCAAACTTACTGACTGGAGTAGCCCTACATCTTTAGATGGGAAGTCTGATTCTCCATTTGGTGTATCATCTTTGGGAAAAGCAAAACAGAGCAGTGCATTATTCAAACCTTATCATGAATACAAATAAGAGTCTAGTCGGTACCGTTTCACTTGGGATTTGTCCACGAGTGAGGGAAGGATGAGATTGACAGGCGGGGAGGTGGCTGCAGCGGTAGCATTTAATGCGGTATATGTACAGGATCTCAGATACATGCGTTTGAAAAGAGTTTTCTTTGGAGTATGGCAGAACGCACCCTTATAGGATGAGGAGCTCTGCCACCAAGAGGAGCTTCTGTTCTGGGCATCTGTTTCGGATGCCATCTGGACGCCTA